CCTCCTGGCACTTAACAGCATATACAACATTGCTCTGTTTGTGCCGGGGCACCGGATCTTTGGGGTGAATATTTAAACAATTTGCAATAATGTCGTTTTACTTTCTTCTACTTTAGTTTCACATTTACAGCTGACTCACATTGTCCTTTTTTATGTCCTTTTTTATTGTTGTATATGTGCAGGTACATGCATATATATGTATATATATATATGTATACATACATGCAGATGTATATGGGCATATTTTAGCACATTTTATTATTTTATTCTTTCTATTTCTTTTAATGTGTATTTGCACTTCTGTGGGAGTGGCTCTAAACTCGATATGCAAGCGTGTAATGTCAATAAAGGCATTCTATTCTATTCATTCTATTTCATATACAGGTGAGTCAAAAGTCTCAGGACACCCGTTTATTTTGAAAATAAAAGTGAAAATGTGTCTAACTTCTGAATCACAAGAGACATTGAACATCTAACTGCAGCAATTTATTTCTGAGTCAATTCTGGTCTTTTTTGATATGCTACATGACCCCCGTCCCATTGGGAAAATTTGACTTAGAGCTAATATGACGGCGTTCAAGATGGCGGCCGTGTTCTGGACATAGCCTTAAAGATAGAGCCCCTCACACGTTACTAGCGGGCGTACTCCGATATTGAATTTTCTGCTTTGTTTCTGAAATAAAAGGGTGTCCTGAGACTTTTGACTCAACCTTTAGAATGAATAAAAGGGGAGCTGAAGTTGGCGCCCTGAGGTACCCCGCAACTATAAGGGGACATGGATTTAGCTAAAAATAAAAAGGTGAATATTTTAGGCTCTTGGATTTGTTTTGGTTTTTAAAAAGCAGAAAAAGGCAGAAAAACTTTCTTTACCCTCTGAGATGACCCTTTGAAAGGAAATTTGAAATTTTATGGTAAAAAGTTTCCGTTTTTTTTTTCTCCTCCTCAGGACTCCCTCCATCACAAGCGCTCCCTGCTCCTTCACCAAACCGAAGACGCCCGGGAGCTGAAGGAGAACCTGGACCGCCGGCAGCGGGTGGTCCACYCCATCCTGTCGGGCTACCTCAGCGAGGCCCAGCTCCAGGACTACCGCCGCTTCGTCAGCGCCAAACCCTCCCTGCTGATCCGCCAGCGCCACCTGGACGACCTCATCCGGCAGGGGGAGGAGCAGCTGGCACGGCTGCTGGAGAGTCTGCCGCCGGAGGTGGCCGAGGCCCACYGCTGGTCCACGTCCTGCTCTCCTCTGGCTCCGCCCTTTAGGATTACAGGCTCCGCCCACTCTGTCAGACCCACCACAGTGACGTCACTGTGAAGATGAACCACGATGGACGTTCGAAGGATTTTGTTTGGTTTTTTTTTTTAAACAAAGACGAGACTCAAACGCCCCAAAACTGTCTGTCAACGATCTCAGTGGTGCGTTCAGGGACCTCCAGGAAGCTTTTGTGTTTTAGGACCAAACCCCAAAAACCAGAGGGACTTCCTGTCCAGGTCTACAGATGTACATTCAACTCACTGAAACTAACGATTCTGGTTTCACAGCATCGTAGTCTGAAGGACGTCTGAAGGACGTCTGAAGGACGTCTTGGCTCGTCACGTCGTCCCGTAACACCACCTCCGTCTGTTTACGCAGCTTTTAGCACTTTCCCGCAGTCCGACACTGTTTTCACTCTTGGTTCATTTTTATTTTACGGCACACTAACATCAGAACATCTGAATAAACTTTTCTTTTCTTTCTTTTTCCCTCTGCTGTTTTATTTAATAACTAAAACGACACAAAAGATCACTAAACAGTTAAACCCCCAAAGATATTTAATTTTGTACGATACGAATCTGTAAACGCGACACGTTTATTTTGTGGACGTTGAAACCCTGTAAATATCAGAGAAAGACAAACGACTCATCGTTTGATCGGAAGTTTTTCTTCAATAAAAGCACTTTGTCAGCGCGGTTTGATTCTTTTATTTGTTTAGTTTTTTTTTCTAGATAAAGTCAGTTAAAAACAGACAGTTTTATCTGTGGAGTTTGATAAAATATAGAAATATTTTTATTCTTATTACGTAAAACAAATATGCAAAATTGATTAAATCATTTGATGTTTAGGTTTTTCACCAGCAGCTTGTCACAAAGAAACAACTTTGAAACTATTTTGTATAAAAAAAATCTAAGGTTAAAATCAACGGTGATAAATGATGAGTTGTAGCTGTTTCAGTCAAAATTAGAAAAAAATATAGCTTTGATAATCTGAATCCAAAGTACATGTTMGAGATGACTCTCAGCTACCACCGTACCAAATTTTAGCTCAATATCTGTAAAATTATGTAAATTATGTGATAGCTTGTGTTGGATAATGTCACATTGTTGTGGCAGCCATCTTTAATCAGGTTGACTCAAAACTTTAAACATTTGTATATTTGAGTCTAATGATCACTTATTGTAAGTTTCAATAAAATCCATCCACTGGTTTAAGAGATATTTTGCTAACAGACAAATGAAGTTGACTTAAATAGTAAATGCTAAACTTTTGATCTGTAGTCTGTGCTCTCAGTTAGTGCTCAGAGTAAATGTAAGAGATAACTCTGTGCTACTACCACACCAAATTTTAGCTCAATATCTCTAAAACGGACTGAGTTACAGCCATTTTTGTGTTTGCTAAGTTTTATTAGCTGTGGTGGCCATTTTGAATTCCACTGACTCCAAACATTAAGGATTTGTAGATWTACATCCAGTGATTATTTTCTGGAAGTTTCGTTAAAATCAGTTCAGCGCTTCATGAGATATTATGCTAACAAAGAAAGTGCTGGGGGGGGGCATTGAGGGGGCAGCGGGTTTATCAAGGGGAACCCCTCCCTCGGTTTCCTTTAGCTCCGCCCCTGAAAGATGAGCTAAATGTCAAAAACATCAGTTTTTATCACCTGGGTGGTGAGATCCTGCTCAACATCCGGGTTACCTGTCTGTCGGAATGCGTCAGGTGAGTGTGGGGTTAAATACCTGAGGTGGGCGGGGCTTACTATCGCCTGACAGAAACCCAGCAGAGACCTTTGAGATCCACAACCCGCGCGGCGAGACACGCAGAGATGGCCACAGATTTCACCCAGGACTCGGTGCTGTTCTTCCTCCAGAGCCGCGGAGGGTCGGTGAAGAACTCGGAGCTGCTGGTCCACTTCAGAGCCTTCCTGCAGGACGCCCAGAACCGGGACCGGAACCGAGAGCTCTTCAAGAAGTTCGTCAACTCCGTGGCCATCGTGAAGCAGGTCGACGGGGCGTCTCACGTCCTCCTCAGGAAGAAGTTCAGAGGACATGTCTCCGGCGGCGGAGCCGGGCGGGACTCTCCCGGACCTGCCGGGAATTACACGGAGCCCTCCGCGGTGACCGCCAGCGCAGAGCCGGAGGTGAGCCTCCCCCCGCCGGGAGAAACCAGGCGGGAAGCGGTCCTACAGGCGGCTGGGATCGTGGGGAAGAACCAGAAGAACGAGGAGACGAAAATCACGCAGAAACCCAAAGAACAACAAGTAAACATCAGAAATATAAGTCCTGAACCAGTAATTAGACAGGTCCAAAAGGGGGGTCAACAACAGGTAAACATTAGAAATATAAGTCCTGAACCAGTAATTAGACAGGTCCAAAAGGGGGGTCAACAACAGGTAAACATTAGAAATATAAGTCCTGAACCAGCTGTTAGACATGTTCAAATGGGGGGTCAACAACATGCAAACATAAGTTCTGATCCAGTAATTAGACCGGTTCAGGTAGGGGGTCAACAACAGGTTTATGTCAGTCCTGAACCCTTAATTAGACCAGATCAGATCGGAGGTCTCTCCGAACCCTCTGGACCTGACCAGAACACCAGACTTGGACTGCCAACAGTGAGACTTCAGGAACCAGAACCCCCCAGAGGACCAGGTCCTGGTCTTCAGCAGGGTCCTGCTCGCCGCTTCAGACACAGACCGAGCTACAAGTCTGCTGTCTCTCAGGATGAAGATGAGGAGGAGGAGGAGGACAAAGACGAGGAGGCTCTTGTGAGACCAGGTCCAGGAGGAGGACCGTGGACTCAGAAGGCCCCCCTCAGTGACTCAGGGAGGACCCTACCCTCATTCCRCTGCATCCCAGAGTCTCCTGAGTCCCCAGGAAGACCTCAGAGTCTCCTGCAGCTCACGCAGGAGGAGATCCCGGTCCCTCCAGACCTCCTGAAGCTCCAAACAAGACTGGAAACTGGTTCAGTTCCCATGGAGACYTTGGAGCACTATGGAGGCCCGCTGGTCTCCAGACCGGGTCCTGGTCCTCAAAAGGTTCCTGGTCGACGTTTCAAACACAGACCGAGCTACAAGACGGCCGTCTCCCAGGAGGATGAAGAGGAGGAGGAGGACAAAGACGAGGAGGAGGATCCAGTGAGACCAAGTCCAGGAGGAGGACCAGAGAGAACCATCTCTGGGTCCTCACCCGGCATCCCAGAGTCTCCCGGGTCCAGCTCCTCTTCCTCAGGAAGGACCGTCCCCAACATCATCATCCAGCACCCGGAGGACGACGAGACCCCGGTCCCTCGAGGGCCGGGACCTGGTTCTGTTCCCATGGAGACGGCCCGACGACGCAGCCTCCCTTCAGAGTCGGACTCTGCAGGACGGGAGCCCCATCAGAACCAGACCCAGTCCTCCAGCCCCAGCAGCATCCTCAGACTATCAGCTGAGGACCAGCGTCAGTCCGGCTCCTCCGGAACTCCASGGTGGACCAGCATCCCTGAGGGGACCCGAGCAGGTACCAAAGACCTGAACTCAAAGTTCTGGTTTGGTTCAGTCCAGAACCGCGCCTCGTTAGAACCGATCGTTTACATTTTTTATGAAAATACGTAAATATTTCAATATGTTCCTGTCGACAGAAGAACCTGCAGGTCTGAGGACCCTCCAGGAGGTCCAGAGGTCTGCGGGGTACCAGCCTGTGGGGTACCAGCCTGTGGGGTACCAGCCTGTGGGGTACCAGCCTGTGGGGTACCAGCCTGTGGGGTACCAGCCTGCGGCGTGGCACCGCTCCACAGGACACCTGTACGAGGAGGAGCTCAGCGCGGAGCGTCTGTCTCCTCTGTCCCGCTCCACCGAGTGTCTCCGTGACGAGCAGCTCCTCGGCCCGCGGGCCCAGCCGTGGCACCTCTCCACAGGTGAGACCCCGGTCCGTACCGGTTCACGTCACGCGGTACCGAAGCTCGCGGTGTGAGGTTTTCCTCCTCCGTCCCGCAGGCGATCTCTACGACGACCGCGAGGAGGCGGAGTCGAGCGAGGGCTCCYCCTCCTCTCCTCAGGTCCAGCTGCGGTCGGCGGTGGCGCGGCGCCTCAGCAGRCGCCTCAGGCGCAGGATGTGCCGCAGCCTGGGGACCGACCTGGACCAGATCGTCCAGGAGGAGGGCGGGGCCGGGACCGGGAGCGAGGCGGCCCGCCTGGACCGCCTCCACAGGATCTCCTCCTCCATCAGCCTGTTCTACAACCGGTCCACCTCCTCCCTGTCCTCCTGCACCACGCCCCCTCGCTGCCCCAGCCCGGCCAATCAGGTCGAGGGGGAGGAGAAACGACAGGGGAGGAGGAGCCTAAACTCCACCTCATCTCATGCACAGGTGAGGCTGAAARACCAGTAATGTGAATCTCTCCTGTTTCTCTTGATTGTTTGTTTATTAAAGTATTTGTAGGAATCGACCTGGGCAMTTACTTCAGCAACTTTTCTTTTTTAGCTCTTTTTCTATTCAGACGTTATTTCCACAGAGAAAATGAAGGCAGCCATCTTTAACATCCTTAAAAACATTAAAAATGTTTATAAATCTTTACTGAAAATTTAATTCTCTTTTCTGGTTCTGCTTTTTAAAAATGCTTTATGCTCATTTTAACTTCTTTTTTTTGCTAATTTTAGCTWTTCTTTCAGCCATAATTCTGCTCCTTTCTGCTAATTTCCATATTTTTGTGCTTCTTTCAACTTCTTTTTAGCTAATCAAAGCTTTTRAATGCTTCTTTCAGCTGCTTTCTGACGGTTGCAGCTGTTTTCTGCATTTTTGGTTTTCTGTTTAGCTGTTCTTTGCTAAATTTAGTTTTTCAAGCTAGTTTCACAGTTTGTAGTCATTTACAGTTCTTTCTGGTTTCAGCTAACTTTCTCCTGCTTATTTTAGCTCATTTCAGTTTTCTTAGCTACATTTTAAATATTTGTGCTAACTTCAGCTGTTTAGCTATTTTACATTTAATTGTAACTTTTTAGTTCTTAATATTGTAGTTTTTTAAATGTTTCTTCAGTGCTTTCATCATGTCTGCCAATTTCAACGTTTCTGCTACTTTTTGCTAATTTTAGCTACTTTTAGCCTTGTTTAGCATATTGCATTAGCATATGAATTAGGTTTTTTCACCTTCAACTCAATCAAATTTAAAGGTGTTGAGCTACCTCTTGACGGTAGAAGCCGAAAGCGATTCGCACCACACGCTGAAAGCTAATTAGCATGCCAACATGGCTAACAAAGCTAAAACAAACTGTGGGCACTAAGAGCTTTAACCGTTTAATGTAGTAATGTCAGATTTCACAGCTCGACACACGACAAGGATTTTTACTGGTTTTATAAACTACAGTTTATTCATTTAACACAAAACAACATAAATTCAATATAAATAAAAATCCAAATCATAAATTAAGTGAAAAGTAGCAGAAGAAGAAAAAGTCTTAAATCTGCCCCTTTTCTCACTAAACAAGTTCAGTCAAAAAATAACCTCCAAACACAAAACAAAAAATATACAAAGAAGAAAATAAGGAATATTTATTTAAAAAAAATTAAAACATTTATTATTTTTATTTTAATGCTAGCTAAATTTCGGCTGTTTTGAGACATTTCTGCTGTTTTTTCTTTGATGTTTTGCTGCTTTCATCCAGAGTCCGCTGTTAAAAAGTAACAGGTTCTGTTTCTTAAGGTGCAGACCTGAACCCGCTGATCCCTCTGACTGTGTTTCCATCAACGCTTTTTGATGCGCATTTAGAAGTGTCGCATTAAAAATGCAAACAAAAAGTCGGATGGAAACAGCAAAATTCGAAAAAAAAATCCTCAATTTACTAAAAAGTTTTTACGCTCGCTTGAGGTGGTTTTTGGATGATTTGCAAAGTAGTTAATGCACAAAACGGGAGATGGAAACACGTTTGCCGAATAAATTCTGACGTAGCGCATATTTACCTCACGTGACGTTCAGCTGTTTCCGCTTTCCTGCCTCGTCCCYGATGTTATCATAAACAAGCGAAAACATGGCTTTATTTCCCAACGTCTCCTGGCACCGTTAAAC